GAGGCTGGCAGTAAGTGGCGGGCTATGAAGTCGGGCCTCTCCCGACCCGCCATCGTTGCCTAAGGGAGGATCCTATCGGCCACTAGACCATGACAGAGCAGAGGCGTGCATGCCCTGTCCCAGCTCCCCCACTCCTCACACTGGGTTTGCAGTGCGCGACCTCGCCACCTCGCTACCAGGGCAAACCCCCTCTCTCCCCCTAGGTGCTGCACTGGACGTCCATAGAAGGCGCGCGGCAGAGGCGGGAGGGAGGCGGGGAGAATCTAGCTCGCTCTGGCAGGGAGGCAAGGGTGTGATAGAGTGTTTGGGTGAGAACAGGCGGAGCGTGTGTGCCTGGGCGCGACTGGGAGGGCAACGAGGCATGGTTAGGTGAGTGGCAGTCGCTGGTGCGGACTTGCTGAGTCGTGTGTGCTCCTTTTTGCTTGCTAAGCCTGTGTGCCGTGAGAGAGAGTTCTTTTGTTTAAATGCTAAGACTGGAACATTTTTTTCATTCTTTCAACTTCTCTATAAAAAAAGAAACTTCGCGCCCGCTGAGGAAGCTTCCGCACTGACGGTGGGCTTCCATGGAAGTCGAGGACCAACAAAACGCAGCAGAGCTGGACGCAGCGTTAGAGCCCGCGACTCTCCTCTCGCCCCTGCCATCGCCTGCCCAGCTGCCCGGCCGGCCGCCAGGCACGGCGCATCTGACTCAATTGTTTGGCGCGCTCGGAGTCAATGAGCGTGAACTGGCGCTTCTGCCACACTTCGAGCTTCTCAGTAAACGGGCACTTGCCTGCTGCTGCTACGAGCTGCAGCAGATCATTACTGTGCATCTCCGATCGCCGATCCTCAACGTGATGCCAACCGATGCCACCTGGTCCAACGCGTGCTTCGTTGCCCGCCTGCCGGGTCTCGCAAACCTGCGCGTCCAAGGCGAGGTCTTCCTGCCCGACATCCAGGTTGCACAGATCCGAGTTCTGCCACGGCTGAAGCTGGGTACGATTGGCGCGCCAGCCGCGCTCTTTGTCGGTGCCATCATCGCGAACTGTGACTGCCAGCTGCGACTTTCCGACGGAGCTGTGCGGGAGTTCGCAACGCTGCGAACTAAAGTATCTGAATTCGCCGCGCCGAAGAACTCGTCTCCTGCAGACCTTGCAGCGCTTCTCGGGCCCTTGTCACTCAATCCAGGATACGCTCGCGCCCTGAGGATATCAATCAGTGGTGTATCATCCTCGGTGAGGACATCAATCGGTGAGGATATCATCACTGACCAGCATACGCTCGCGCCCTTGTGGCTGCAAGCGGCCTACAGGAGCGCAGGAGTCAAGAGGGCTCCGCACCCCGCCCTGGATAAGACGTACTGTAGAGCGATGTTGTCCGTGGCGGCGAAGGCTGCAGGATTAGGACCTGCCAACGTGATGCAGTTCGAGCGGGTTGGAGCCAACACGATGGCAGCTGCGTTCTCTCTGCACTATATGGGTCGGGAGAACAACGGGAGTGCCGCCAGCCTCACCGCCCCAGCCATACACAGCGGCCGAGCGAGCGCCACTTTCCGCTTCGATTGCAAGGCTAACTTTGTTGCGCTTGGGGTCTTCCCGGCAGATATGAGTCTCAACCAGAGCGACAGCGCGGATGAATCGTACAGGTCGTGTCTTTTGCAGCAGCGTCATTGGGGCAGCGTCAACGTTCGCACAGGGTGTGACGGCGTGGTGTCAGATTGGGTGAACTTGGAACCCCTCCCATGGGAGATGGGCGACACCGTTCAGATCGATGTGGTGCTTCCGCGTGGCGAGGAGGCGGCGCAAGTCACTTTTAGCTACAAGGGACGTGTCGACAATGCGACGCTGCCGAGCGTGCCGCCAGGAGGGCTGAGCTTTGGCGTTGTGCTCACGAAGCACACGCCAGCGGTGACCCTGCTCGCGAGCTCTGTAGCCCCGGGTGGTTGAGGTAGCGCCCGGCGCCTATACACGTATCGAATTATAACACGAAGAGTTTAACACACAAGAATCGTGAAAGAGCAAAGATTTCTTGGTCCGCCCCTCTCGTCCATCTTCCACTCTCGAACGCGCGCTACCCGCGGTCGCGGACTGGGACTCTCGAGTTGCAGTTCTCGTCTCTGACTCTGTCCAGTTTCACCTCCGGGATATCCCGCTGGTTCCACTTTTCACATACATATATTTCCCCCCGCCCCCCCTACCCTTGCAGCTCGCGGAGGATCCAGGCCACACACGCCTCCGTGCCAAACTCGTGCAGCGCCGCGCGGGCTGCGTGCTCGGCCGGGAAGCCCATCGCCTCGAGGGAGCGGACTACGTCCGGGTCCGGGACGAGCTGGACGGCGCCCGGGGCGGAGGCCGGGTCGTGCGCGACTTGCACGCGTGCATTGGGAAAGAAGTCGGCGGGCAAGCTTTGGAACCAGACCGAGGTGCCGTTTGGCGCCGCGACTGTCAGCTGCTGCCCCGCCACCGCGTCGGGGGGCACGGTCACAAAGAAGTGCGACTGCTGCGCGCCCTGCGGCTGCGGCTGCGGTGCGGCGGGCTGCGGTGCGGACTGCGGCAGCGGCGGTGTGGCCTGGCTCTGCGCCCCGTCAGGCGCGGAGGCAGTTTCGCCCTCGACGGCGGCTCGGAGCAGGGCCAGGCATTGCCCAACCTGCCCTCGCTGCGAGAGGCGGAAGCCACGCCTGGCCCGCAGGGCTCGCAGCGCCTCGCCCGGCCGTGAGTCGCTCGCGTTGAGCAGCTCCTCCACGCACGCCACCTGCCCGGCGGCGGCGGCGATGGCGAGCGCGTCGCAAAGCCGGCTGTGCTGGCGCACTCCCGTGCGTACGATGTCGATCGCCCGGACAGCCGCGCCCGCGTGCAGCAGCTGCCTCGCCGCGTCCAAGTGGCCCTTCTTGCTCGCGATGGCGAGGGGCGTGCTTGCCTTCTCCTTGGCCGACCCCCGCTTGCCAGCAGGCATCTGCCAGTTGACGGGCGAGCCCGCATCCAGCAGCGGCTGCAGGTCGTCGCCTCGAGCCGCAGCCCAGTACAGGCGCTCGCCGCTGATCGGGTCGGCCTCCCACCCCAGCCAGCGAGCCGCGTCCGCGTCCGCCGCGACTTGCATCTCGCGGAGCCCGACTTGCAGCGCCTCGTCCGGAGCCAAGGCGCTGCTATCACTGGTTCTGCGGACAGCCTCCGCCGCCTCCGCCGCCTCCGCCGCCTCCGCCGCCTCGGCGACCTGCAGCGCCAGCGTCCACCCCATGTCACCCCCAGCCGCCGCCTCCGCCGCCTCCGCCGCTGCCGCAGCATCGACGGCCTGCATGTGCAGCGCCACCGCCGCCCGCGAGTCGCCCTCGTCTGACGGGCGCGGCGCCTGCTTCGCCGGCCGCTTCCCTGCCGCCTTTTCCGAGAGGAGCACAGGCGGATAGAGCGGCGACTTTCCGTTTCCGTCTCGGTCCGGGGCTTGGACCGATGCCGTTTTCCGATGGATGATCACGACCTCCGACGTCCGGCTCGGGTCGAGCGCCGTGACGATGGGGCCTTGCAGCCATTCGCCGTTGAGACTGACAATCTCGTCGCCGGCACGCAAAATGCCGGCGGCGCTGCAGTCGGGATCGACGTTGATGATGAGGTTATCATCGTTGACTATGAGGCCGAGCCCCACCCTCGGGTGACGCAGCAGCCTGCACTCGACCGCCTCACACCCGGCGGGAGGCGGCGCGGCCCTCTCCGACACAACATCGATTTCGGACTCCGCCCTGTCTGGGCGGGGCATGTCCCGTATCGTCTTATGTGAGCGGTTTGCGCGGCCCGGTTGTGCTTCTGTGTGAGCGGTTTGTCTGACTGTCACTGTGCGATTTCGGGCACCGCCTTTGTGTTTTCTGTGAGCGGCGGCAGACTCGGGAGCTGAGCGCCGTGTTTGCAGACGGTGGGAAGAGAAACGAAGAAAAAAGAAACGCAACCAACTCGAGCAAAAGAAAAATCGCAGGGAAAGAGGCTGGCGCCGGGGCCCCGGTGCCGGGGGCACACACACACACACACACACACACACACATGCTCTTCCTCCTCGCGCTCGCCGCCCCTCGCGACTACTACATCTGCAACTTCACCTGCCCTTCCAACGAGAGCTGGTCGGCCTGCCGCAGCGAGCGCTGCTCTGCGCCGGCGCTGCCGGAGGACTTGTGCAGCGGCGGCGAGGAGCCGGCAGCGAGCGCAGAGCTCGTCGCTGGCCCGGGCGCGTGCGAGGCGTACGCGGTCGATGCGGGCTCCTTCAAGGAGCGGTGCGGCATCTGCACCGCCCTCTCCCGTGCCGCGCTCGCCGCCGCTACCAGCGGAGCGGCTGAGGAGGACGCGGCTTTGTGCGCTGCCGCCGCGAGCGCGACCGCTGCGTCCGAGCTGCCGCCGCTCCGCACCTGCCGGCTCGATCCCTCCGCCTGTGCGTCGCTGCTCGAGCAGCTGCAGGAGGCGACATGCCCGCACGCCGCGCAGATGATCCGAGCCGGCGCGAGTCGAGCAGCGGTCCTCTGGAAGGCGAGGGCACACCACACCCGGCCTCGCACCACCGCAACGCGCCTCCCGGCGTGCGCACGCCTCATCGCGGCCCTGCCCGCCACTCCCTCCCTCAGGCGCAGCAGCTCTGCGGCGAGCGGCTGCGCCAGCGGCACAACACGACGCTCTTCGAGGCGACGACCTGCGAGGCGCCGCGCGAGGTCGGGCTGCGCGTCATGGCCATCTCGGCGTGCGTCGCCGCCGCCGTCTTCTCCGTGCAGGTGTTCGCGTGGGGGTGACGCACGCCGATCTCCTCCTTCTGCTATCAGCGACGTACGTGTCATATGAGACCCAGGATTTCAATCCGCGTCTATTCACTCTCTCTCCTCTCTGTGGTACTCTGCTGTGGTCGTTGTCTAGTGTCTGCAGCAGAGAGTGGTGGACTCTGATCTCTGTACCTCTCCGCGGCGGCGGCTGATTTCTTCTGTTCGGCAAGGTTTTTGCTCGCGTTCATCGCGAGACGCTTTTAGAAGCAGGCGCTTGTTCGCGGAGAACTCGCTTTTAGAAGGTCCACCCAGATATGAGATATCGTGGCAGCCAGCACAGTGCGTCCGAAGAGAAGCGCACTCTAAAAGCCTCGGAGCGCGCTCGCTGCCACACGCTGGTATAGCGTTCGCCCGAGATGCTCACGACGCTGGCTGCCCTCTCGGAAGTGGAGCGAGGCACAGCCGCCTTCGCCTCCGCTGCCAGCGATCCAAAGTCCTGCTGCACGGTCGTCGCCAGCCAGTCGAGCGAGCTCGCGAGGCTGTCGTCGCTGCCGCCCCTCTCCCGCGCCGCAACCGCGTCCGACAGCGCGGACGTGCGGCACACCCCGCGCGGACCCGCCGCCAGCGCGTGAGCGCCAAGCGCAGCGGCGAGCTCGTCCGTCCCGGCGGCGTGCGGCAGGTCCGACTTGTTGCCCACGATGAGGAGGGGCTTGCCGGCGAGATTGGCGTGGGCGCACGCCGCGTGCAGCAGCCCACGCGCCTCCTCGAGCCGCTCCACGTCCGACGCGTCCACCACAAAGATTGCGGCGTGCGCCTCTGCATAGTAATTGTCCCAAATGGCTCGGATGCCGGCGCCGCCGCCCACATCGAAGAGGCGCAGCCGCTGCCGGCGGAGCGTGGCGCTCGCGGTGGTGAAGCCGCACGTCGGCGTCGTGTCGCTACGACTCGCACGCTCGCACAGCGCCGCCGCCAGCGTCGACTTGCCCGCGCCGTCGCACCCGAGCAGGATCCAAGTCTGCTCGGCGCCGGAGGAGGTGCCCGCGGGCGGCGCCGGCCCCACCCTGGCGGAGCGGCGGGCGGTCCGCCACCGCTTGGGCTTGTCCGGCGCGGACGAGGTGCGCCGCGACGGCGCGCGCCAGCAGCACAACCGCCGGGCCATCGCTGAAAGATGCGTTCGTTACAACGGACGCGCGTTTTCTTCAATAAAATCGAAGAAGAAAAACGCAGTCCCAAGTCTCGACCCACGTCTAGCCGTGTGTGCTACAACTAGTGCTGCAAGAATTTAACTGAACACAACTCTCTCTCACAGCAGACAGGCTCGACACAGGTGCGGACAGGCGCGGCTCCAAGAAACTCCCTCGCACGGCTCTGGGCACGGGACTGGCGCGCACTGGCACTAACAGAATTTCACAAACCACAAAATTCCACACAAAATTCCTCCGCCAGATCCCCCTCGTCCTCTGTGAGGAAGTACTTCCACGAGAGCGACAGCTCGTCCGTGAGGATGCCGGACGATTTGTAGCCACCCGACTCGAGGAAAGTGTCGAATGCGTCGTCGGGCGCACCGTTCGCCTTGGGGACCAGCCGTACTGATCCCGGGGCACCTTCAGCCGCTCATCACGCGTCGGGCCGGTGGCCACCTTCAGCCGCGGCGATGGTGGCGATGGCCGCACGCTCGACGCCCAGATCAGGTTCTCTGTCTCCTGCTCCACATCGAACCGCACCGCAAAGTGCGGCGGCCCCGCGAACGGAAGGAGTCATTGCCGTGTAGCCCGACAGTCGCGCGCTGACGGAAGAGCCGCCGGTAGTCCAGCTCCTGCTCGAGCAGGGAATGTTCTCGGACGGGTCGTTGAAAGGAGTGACGATGTAATTGGCGTCGTCGAGGCCCTGGCCGTCGTCGAGGCCCTGGCCGTCGTCGAGGCCCTGGCCGCCGCCGCCGACGATGTGCGCAACGGGCGAAGTGCGAAGGTCGATGCTTTTCCAAAGTGCGCGGTCCGAGGCCGCGGCAGGCCCACCGTGCGGCTGGGGGCATACGTCAGCATGGGTCTGCGCCGGGTTAGGGGTGGGTTAGGGCCGGGTTAGTGCAGCGCACCCCGGGTTAGAGCTGGTTTGGCCCTAGGGAGGAGGAGTGCGCTGAGGGCGGTACATTGATTGACTCTGGGCCGGCGCGGGGGCCCCAGAGGGTGTCCATGCGGGGGGCCGTCCCCGCCGTCGTCCGTGCCTCGGTTCGCGTCATCGGTAGCGTCTCCGTTGTTCCCTCGTGCCCCGCCGTCGCCCTCTCTGCTTGGGCCGTTAGCGATTTCGCTCTTCCTGCATGTCGCCCCTCCGTCTTCTCTCCCCTTCCTTCGTCGTCATCGTCGCTGTCGCGAAAGCCCTCCGGTCCCTCGATTCCCTCGCCTATCCCCTCCGCTGCGTCGTCCCAGTTTATATCCTCATCCTCTGTGCACGTCGCGTTGGCTTCCTCTCTCCCTCTTTCCTCCCTGCCCCTCTCGCTGTCTGGTGCTAATGGACCCCCTTCCTCTCCCTCGCCACCGTCACCGTCACCATCCCCGTCGCTACCGCCCTCCATGCCCGCCGCCCTTTGTTTCACACTCGTCTCTGCCATGTCCGTCGTCGCCGCCGTCCTGTCTTCTGCGCTCTGTGCTCCGTGGTACAGTCGCTTATTGTTGCCTTGCTCAGGATTAGCTCACGCACCAGGACAGCCTCCTGCTCGTTATTTTGGCTTGCCGATATGCATCCAAAGTTCCACGCTAGCTCCTCCTTCGTCACGTCTATCTTTTTGCAGTATCTCGCGAATGCCGTCCGCGCTTGCTGGGGTGTTATTGCGTTCGGATCCGCCCTGGTCCCCGCCCTGTATCCCATCTCCTTGCGGTGGCTCCTGTATGAGTCCCCATATGACCATGTCAAAGTCGTCCCCGCTCTCGTCGTCACTTCCATCCAGCTGCGTCCCCCCTGCTGCCGTGTGTCGTGATAGTTCGTCTGGTACTGTCTCTGGTGGCTGCGCCGTTCCTGTCCGGAAGATCTCCCCAGTGTAGATGCTACACACCTCAAATTTCTCTAGCCTCCTCGTCGCCAGTAGGCCGAGTTCCCCTTCCGCTATGCTAGAGGGGCCTACCTTCGCCCCTTCCACCGTGCCGCCCGTCGTTAGCATGGCCGTCGTTACTTTCGCCGCCGCCTCTGCTGCTTGTCGGCGGAGCGCCTCGCGCCTTCCCTCGTCTCCATGCTCCCGCTGTTGTTCTTTTCGGTTCGTCGCAGTCAGCCAGGAGGGGGCTGGCGCCTTCCTGAATGCGATCCCCATGCGGGATGATATGAAGATGGAGACGTGGGCGATGCGCATTACAGTCCAGCGCCGCCTCGGCCTCCCGCTCGATGTTGCCTGCCAGGCGGTGGAGGCGGGCAAGAAGGCGCCAAACGGCAAGCCGCACGAAGAACTCGGCGATGCCGCAATGGTCAACCCGCGTGCGAAGCACGCAACACGACACAAATACCTGCTCAAACGACTCGTCAAGACCCTTCGCTCGGCGTGGGGCATGCTCATCGAGATGGAGCCGACTGCACACCTCAGTTACAGTAACCCAAAACAACCTGACGTGGCGGCGGCGAACATCGGCAAAGGGCATGTGCGCCTCGTTGGCGACTTGAAACTGACGAGCTCGCTTGCGTGCAAGGGTGGCGATCGGCTCGGCTGGAAGGGGGCTTTTGTCGCCTTCGGCAACACCGAGCGGGAGCTGCTCGACTTAGTGTTAGGGCATGCTGCATGGCCGCGGCCGGGAGGGGGGGGGGAGGGGGGGAGGGAGGCGGAGGATGCAGAGGCGGAGGCGGCGGCGGCGGAAGAGGAGGAGGGGGAGAGTGAGGGGGAGGTGGAGGCGGGGGCACCTGTGACGGCCCCCTACGAGAAGGGCGACTACCGGTTCGCGCGGGAGAAGAATTGCGACCTGCGCTTGCTCGACTTCGAGACGTTCGGCGGCTTCGGGGACGGCGTCCGCAGAATTCTTCGGCAGGCGGCGGACCAGCTGAGTAACAAACTTTCGCACGCTCAGCACCTCGATGAGGTCACATGGACCACCAAGAACTGGCACGGGCTGCAGATGCAGCGCTTGTCTGTCGTTCTCCACACCGCCGTGGCGTGGCAGACGGTGAACGAGCTAGCGTGCGGGGACAGCGGCATTGTGCACGGAGCTAAGTGCATTGCCGTTCTTAACGGAGTCGCTTAGGCGGCTCCGGTGGTGTGCCGGTGATAGTACTAGCACGCGCCAGTTCGCACCTGTGTCGAGCCTGTGTGCTGAGAGAGAGAGTTGTTTTGTTTAAATTCTTACTGTGCCTCTTTTGGTACCGTGGCGTACCTGTGTCGAACCTGTGTGCTGCGAGAGAGAGTTCTTCGTTGAATTCTTTTTGTTTTCCTGCGCTTCCTGTCGCTGGTCCGGCGACGTATCTTGCCGTCTGCCTTCGCTTCCTGGCGGGCCGCGTTTCCTTCCCCTCGTCCCGTCTGTTTTCTCCTGCGTGGTCGCCCTCGCGTGCGCCGCTCGCCGTCTGTTCTCCTCTCTGCTCGCCGTCCTCGTCCCCTCGCTGTCGTCGCTTCCCTCCGGCGCTCGCCGCATCGTCGTTCCTATCACCGCGTTTCCTGCGCTGGCCTTCGCCTTCGAGCTCGCAGTGGGTCGTTTTGAGTGTCATCCCCATCGCTCTCGTCGTTCTGCCTCTCCCCGCTTCGAGGCGTCTCTCTGCCTCTTCCCTTTCCTTCTCCTCGGCATCACGTTGTCGATGTCGCCTCCGTCGCCAGCAAATACACGCATTCGCCGCCCACTCCATTTCTCGTATCCTCTCCTTCCTTTCCTTCTGTCCCTCTCTCAGGCGTTCTGTTTCCGCGGCTACTCGTTCCTTCCTCTCCGCCTCGAGTCCCTTCCTCTTCCCTTCCCGTACTTTGATTATTGATGCCGCCGTCTGCTGCAGTGCCTTGAGTGAAGTCACCACCCGTGTGTCATACTCCCTCATGATGTCTTCTGGCGGGTCCTGGTCCATCACACTCGGCTCGGGTAGTCGTCCAGCTAGCAGTTGCTCCATCGCCTCCCATTCCTCGTCGCTCTCCCTTCTTCCTGCGCACCTCTTCGTCGCCCCAGCAATGGCGCGTACAGCGAGCGCCTGGGCTTCGCACTCTGCGGTGTGGGCGAGTGTCCGCCTCCTTGACTTCGGTGGCGTCCATCGTAGCGCCTTGAGCACGTCCGCCGCGCCTTTCCTCATCTCCCGGTAGTGCTCCCTCCTCTCTCCCTTCACACCGCCTCGCACTCGGCGCATAGGACGTGCCTAGTGTTAGCTAATGTATGCATACAGTTGGGATGCCAGCAACCTTCAGCCCCATCGGCACACGCTCCTCCTCCCTCCTCGTCCCACCCGCTCTGGGAGAAAAGAGAGAGGGGTTTGTGTTCTCTAGGCCCCTAAGGGCCCTACGCGCGGCGTGAGAGCTCGGAAGCGAGCTTTGCACGGCGATCGAGGATGTGTGTGGCGCGGTTCACCCCCTTCACCGAAGCGATGGAGATGCGTTCCGCGTGGTGTGTGACACAAATATGAGAGGCGGGAGTGGGGAGGGTACGCGGTGTATGTAGCTCTTAAACGTACATTCCCGGAGGAGGACTGCTTACGGGGTTTGCGATGAGAAGCGATCCAAACGTGGCATTCGGGTGATTAGATCACTATTTTCAATATATCAGTGTACGTAGTTCTTACGAACATACCCGAGGGTGAACTGCTGACGAAAAAAAGCTGACGGGGTTTGCGCCCCCCCCCCCCCTCTGAAAAAAGAAAGAAAACGCCTACACAACTGAGCGGAGTAGATACATGGCTCTTACGTAATTTTAGTTTACCCGGGGCCGACCAGCGAACAGAGCGGGACGACGGCCGTGCTGCTTCCACCCTCACGATGCCGAAGCGCTCCAAGAAGGAGCGGCTGGCGGCGCACGCTGCGTCTGCAGATTGGGTGAAGAGCAACGTCAGCATTCGCAAGAGCCTATGCGAAACAGGCGGCGGAGGAGCTTTCACGAGTGTTTTCATCAAAGCTGGCTCACTCGTCGGCTTCTACGAGGGCAAGAGTGTTAGAGCATCGGACCTACCAGAGCTTGAAAATCGTGATTATGTGATGTTGGGCGATCGCGCCCGGCGTGACGCGTATGACCCGCTCGGCCGGCTGGTCTTGGCGAACGGCGACGAGGCCAACGTGCATGGTTGGACTGACAAAGCTTGGTTGGCGATGGAGCATGAAGGAGTTGCTTGGCGTGGACAGCACGCCTCATGGACGCGATTCATAAACCATGCGCGTGGGCAATACGCGAATCTGTCGCAGGCTACGACACGCGAAAAGTACGGCCGAGCATACGCCCTGTATGCGAAGCGCGACATCCAAGTTGGCGAGGAGCTCTTCTACGACTACGGCAAGGACTACTGGTTGGCGCGCAACATCGGTCCTGACGATCCTCGTGAATCATTGGGTATGGGCGGCCAGACAACACACACCGCGCCAAGTTCCATGGGCACTGCAAGAGCTGCACACCCATGAATATGTACCTTGGCGACTACTTTGTCGGAGTGCAGGCACGCGGAACGATGTCGCGCTTCGGGCTGAGCCAACGCGTGGAAGCATTGAACCTCGGCTCCAGATCTACCACCTCATAGTTCTGCATGATAGGATTCTTGATGTTCGCGTGTGTTATAGGGTCGAGTTATAGGGCGGTATTTTGTTGTCGGTCCAACCACCAAGCTGCAAAGGCCAAAGCGCTCCAACGGACGGGAGTAGCAGGGGCAAGACACGGGTCCCCTACGTGCGATGTAGCCGAACCAGCCAATTGTCGCCTGCTAAAAACATGGCCGACAACGCTCTGGGCGAAGCTGTGGGCGAGGCTGTGGGCGAGGCTGTGGGCGAGGCTGTGGGCGAGGCTGCTCTGGACGAGGCTGTGGGCGAGGCTGTGGACGCGCTCCGCCGGGGTGACGAGGCAGCTGTGCGATCGTGGCTCGTGTACGCTTCCGCCAACGGCCAGGAGCAGTTGGTCGAATTTCTGCTGCAGCGCGGCGCCGATGCCAATGAGCCGGACAACAATGGCACCACTGCGCTGATGGCTGCCGCTGGCAACGGCCACGAGCGGGTGGTCGAGTTGCTGACTCGGCACGGCGGGGTGTTGTGGAGGGAGAGGCAGACGCCAAGGTGGATGCGCGAGAGGCGGAGGGCACGAGCGCCAGCGGCGAAGCTGCACAGCTGGCAGCCTTGCGGGCCATAATTCAGGAGCAGAGGAGGAAGAAAGCCGATCTCGAGGCGGAGCTCGTTGTGCTCAATGAGCAGAAGAGCGCGTGCCCTCGGCAGCGGACGGTCGAGCGGCTCCGGCGGCGGCAGCAGCGCAAGTCGCAGGCGGGGGTTGGGCCCGCTGCGCGCGGCGCACCTGCAGGCGCGGCGGCGGCGGACGCCAGTGCCGCAGCCTCTCCTGCCTCCGGCGCGGTGGCGGCGGGCGCCAGTGCCGCAGCCTCTCTTGCCTCCGGCGCGGCGGCGGCGGGCGCCAGTGCCGCGACCTTTCGTCCGGTTTTGATCGTAGAGTCCATCACCCAGTCCGAGGGCCCGTCCGGATGTTCGGGCCGGTATGTGCCGCACATTCGGGTCGAGAACGGCGAGCCGACCTGGATTATGACCGGCGGCTCTGGGACGATCGTCTCGGCCTGTACTCGATACGTCCTGTACTCGATGCCAACGGCAGCGGGGAACCGGTGGGCCATCACGCACGAGGACATGGTCTCGGCCGGCCGGAACTTCTTCTGCACCGAGCCGCACGGCGGCAAACTCCCGCACACTCTCGCGTGGGGCAAGCTCATCCACGGCTCCTTCACGGCGATCGATCGATTTAAAATTCGCATCGAAACAGGCGCGCCGGTGCTTCCTGACGAGGTCCGGCTAGCGACGCGGCGAGGCGATGAGGCGGCGGTGCGGGCGTGGCTCGATCGCGGCGGGCAGGTCCACGTGACGTGTGTCTGGCAGGGTGTGAGTGGCTGCACGCTGCTACAGCTCGCCGCAGCGAACGGGCACGAGCAGCTCGTCGAATTGCTGCTGCAGCGCGGCGCGGAGGTGAACAAGAAGGACAGCGTCGGCAACACCGCGCTGATGTTCGCCGCCATCGCCGACTGCCCCGCCGGCGTGCTCCGCTTGCTGCGGGCGGGGGCGGACATGAAGCTGCGCAATGCGGGCGGCGGGACGGCGCTGCTTCTTGCCAAGGCGAAGGGCCACACCGAGTGCGTCGAGGCCTTTAGGACGTATCTCGGGGAGGTTGCAGCGGACCGCAGCAAGGCGCCGCCATTGGCCGAGGCGGGCGATGCACTGGCGGGCGGCGCGACTGCAGGCGAGGCGGCGGCGGGCGCCAGCACCGCGGCCTCTGCTTCGGGCGACGAGGGCGGCGCGGTGCCAGAGAAGGTCGTGGACGCGGTTGAGGATGGCAATGAGGAGGCGGTGGTGGCGTGGCTCGACGGCGGCGGGCGGGTCGACGCGACATTCGAGTACCTCTTTTCGGACGGCACTCGTGTGACCGGCATGACGCTGCTGCTGATCGCAATGCTCAAGGGCCACGAGGGGCTGGCTGAGACGTTGCTGCAGCGCGGCGCGGATGTCTCGTTGCAGAACAGCCTCGGCGACACCGCGGTGGGTCTCGCCGCCTGCAACGGCCGCGAGAAGCTGGTCGAGCTGGCATTGCGTCACAGCGCGGAGATCAACCAGCGAGGTCGCGACGACGGCAGGACTCCGCTGATGTCGACCGCCGCGAGCGGCGACGAGCGGCTGGTCGAGTTGCTGATCCGGCACGGCGCTGGGGTCAACCAACGGGACAACGACGGTGACACCGCGCTGAGATACGCCGCCGGCTACGGCCACGAGAATGTGATCGGCGCGCTGCTCCGACACGGCGCGGAGACTGACCTTTGCAAAACCGCGCTGACTGACGCGGCCCACTTCGGCTATGCCGCCGTCGTGCGTCAGCTGCTGCGCGCGGGCGCAGATATGACGCTGGTCACTGCGACGGGCAAGACCGCGCTGCAGGAGGCCAAGGAAAACGGCCACTCCGAGTGTGTGCGCGCCCTCGAGGAGCATGCGGCCGCCGAGGCAGCAGAGGCGGCGGAGGCGGCGGAGGCGGCAGCGGCCGCAGCAGCCGCCTCCTTGCTCGCCGAGGAGGATGCTGCGCAGCGGGCCGACAGCAAGAAGGCGCAGAGGAAGGGCAAGGGTGGCAAGAAGAAGGGCGCGAGTGGCAGCAAGGGCAGCGCCAAGGGCAGTGCCAGGCCGGCGGGGGAGGTGGAGGCGCAGGGGGCGGACGCAGAATGCGCGCTGGCGGGCCAGGTGGAGACACTGCGTGTGTCAGAGGTGAGGGAGAGGGAGTCGGTGCGCGAGAGGGAGTCGTCGGTGCGCGGCGTCCCCTTCTCGCAGCTCCTGCTGCGTCAACGCACCCTGCGCGGCAATCTGGCGCTCGACCTCATCGGTGCGTGCCAATGCGTGACCGACGAGTGCCTCCGTGGACATTGATTGGTTTTGGCGGGCGAAATGTCGTCGGGGCGCCGACCTTTCCGAATTTCTTTTTGCGGTGGAGATTTCTTTTCCTCGCGATGTCTGCCCCGCCGCGCCGCAGCTTGCGCCGCCTCAGCTCCGCCTCCTCCGCCGCGCCCTCGCCAGACACGCCGCCGCCCGCCCGCCTCCTCGACCTCCCCACGGACCTCCTCTTGCGCGCCCTCTCCCGCTGCGACCCCGCCGACATCGCTCGCGTCGCGGCCGTCTCGCTGCTCTTCCACGCCTCGCTTGCGCTGGAGGGCATCCGCTTGTGGGCGCGAGAGCGCGGCTTCGAGCTGCCGGCGCAGCCAGAGGGCGAGAGCTGCGCCGTGCGGTGGCTGTGCTACTCGGCCTTGCTGCGCGAGTCCAACCCGCCGGTGAGGGCGGCCGCAGGCGGTCAGCACAGCCTCTTCATCGATGCCGAGGGGCCGTCGCTGTGTCGGCTGGGCCTATCCACAACCTCGCCCTCGCCGCCACGGCGCTGTTTGGAGCTGGGGCAGTGGACGCGAGGGCAAGCTGGGCCACGGCGACGTGCAACGCCAGCTGCTGCCGAAGAAGATCGAGGCGTTGGCTGGGCAGCGCGTCATCGCTGTGTCGGCTGGGCCCTTCCACAGCCTCGCCCTCACCGCCAACGGCGCCCTCTGGAGCTGGGGCCACGGAGGCTGCGGCAAGCTGGGCCACGGCGGCGAGCAGCACCAGCTGCTGCCCAAGAAGGTCGAGGCCTTTGCTGGCCAGCGTGTCATCGCTGTCTCGGCGGGAGAGGACCACAGCCTCGCCATCACCGCCGACGGCGCCGTCTTTACCTGGGGCGTGGGTGAACGCGGCTGTCTAGGCCACGGAGATGACCTGTCGAACCAGCTGCTGCCCAAGAAGATCGAGGCGTGGGCGCCGGGGCAGTGATGAGAAGGGCGAAAGGGTGCCAGCAGGCTCTGTGTTGCCGCACGTGCCTATTTGGCACCTGCGAACGTATCCGAGAGTGGACGGAAGGTTGCAACATGCATCGATGGTCCACTGTGTCCTGGCACCTCTAGGGCGTAAAAGAAAGAAAGAAAGAAAGAAAACAGACAAATCAGACCTCGAATTCTTTATTTTGCGGAGCTTTGCCGGCAGCTTCACGTGCGGTGCGAGCTTCCAGGAGCTGGCCGGAGCGCCACGGTGCGCCAAGCGGCACCTGCGACAAGCGCCACGCCGCACGTCCGCCGTGATTACACCCCTGATCCCATGACACTACTCACCAGCGATCCTTCTGCGTTGATGCGTCGAGTCTCGGCTCTCAACGCTCGGCTGAGACGCTTGCCGCGCCCGCACACGCAGCACGTACTCTCCGACTGGGCCAAGAAAGATGGAGATACGGCCTTTGCGGTGCTCACCCGGCCACACCGCCATGCACAGGCGACGAGGCGAAGGCTGAGCTGTAAACGAGCTGACATGCTGGCGTTGCGTGCCTTCTCTCCGGTGCTCACGGCGGCCGCGCTGGCTCGTCCGCCCGCCACCGTGGCGAGGCGCGGCTCCATCGCCGCGTGCGGCGGCTCCTCGCGCTGGCACGCCTGCATGAGCGCGCGCGACGCGGCGGCGTGGCCGGCCGACAAAGTGCGGTCGCAGTTCGTCTCCTTCTTCGAGGCAAAGCAGCACTCGCCGGTCGCGTCGTCGCCGGTCGTCCCGTGTACGGCGATGGTACCACGTCCAGGGCACGTCCAGGACGTGTCGCGGACATGTGCCATAGGTCGTCCCGTACGACGACCCGACGCTCCTCTTCGCCAACGCGGGCATGAACCAGTTCAAGCCGCTGTTTGTCGGCCAGGCGGCGCCCGGCAGCGCTCTCGCCAAGCTCAAGCGGGCGACCAACTCTCAAAAGTGCATCCGGGCGGGCGGGAAGCACAACGACCTGGAGGACGTGGGGATGGACACGTACCACCACACCTTCTTCGAGATGCTCGGCAGCTGGAGCTTCGGCGACTACTCAAGGAGGAGGCGATCGGGCCGGCGATAAGGGGCTGCGGACCACGCGAGATGACGCGAGATGACGCGAGATTGCGCGAGACTAGGCGATCGACTGGGCGTGGGAGCTGCTGACGCAAGTGTACGGCCTCCCTCCCGACCGCTTCTACGCAACCTACTTCGAGGGCGACGAGGGCCTCGGCCTGGCACCGGACGAGGAGGCGCGCCAGCTCTGGCTGCGCTACCTCCCGGAGGAGCGGGTGCTGCCTGGCAATGCAAAGGACAACTTTTGGGAGATGGGGGACGTCGGCCCTTGCGGGCCTTGCAGCGAGCTGCACTATGACCGGATCGGAGGGAGAGACGCGGCGCACCTCGTCAACATGGACGGCTGGGAGGTGTGAGCAGCGTCTCTTCACACTTCCTGCTGTGAATAGGCGCACCTCGTCAACATGGACGACCCGGACGTGCTCGAGGTGTGGAACTTGGTCTTTATGCAGTTCAACCGCGAGGCGCCCGCGCCTAGAGGAAGAGGACGACACGCACCCACTGTACCCCGCCTCCCACCCGAGCGGACCACCGCACTGCACCGCGCGATGCCGCGACTGCAGTCACCACACAGCAGTTCGCAAGTCGCGCACGGACTCGGGTGCGTGTCATGGCGTAGGCGGGCGGGCTGCTCCGCCCTCTGCCCGCAAAGTCGGTCGACACGGGCATGGGCTTCGAGCGGCTCGTCTCCATCCTGCAAGACGTGCGCTCCAACTACGACACCGACGTCTTCGCCCCCATCTTTGCGGAGATCGAGGCCGCCACCGCACTCCGAGCAGCACGGACGTGTCCGGCACACACGTCCATGACCTTTCCGAGACTTGTCCCGCAGGCCGTCACCGGCGCCGAGCCGTACGGAGGCGCCCTCGCCGCCGACGCCTCCGCGGTGCTGCCTGGCACAGCCGTCGGCCGCGATACGGCGTACCGTGTCGTCGCAGACCACATCCGGACCCTCTCCACCGCCATCGCCGACGGCGCCCTCCCCTCCAACGAGGGGCGCGGCTACGTCCTCCGCCGCATCCTGCGCCGCGCTGTGCGGTACGGCCGCCAGATGCTTGGTGCGGAGGAGGGCTTCTTCACCAAGCTGGTGCCCGCCGCGGTGGGCTCGCTCTCCGCCGCCTTCCCCGAGCTCGCAGAGCAGCAGGACCACGTGCAGGTGGTCAAACACACCTCCGAGACACCTCCGAGGCACCTCCGAGGCACCTCCGAGGCACCTCCGAGGCACTCTCTCTCCGCCTCCCCCCCCCCCACAGGCCGTGATCGCGGACGAGGAGGCGGCCTTCTCCTCGATGCTCTCTCGCGGCATCAAAGAGTTCAACTCGCGCGCCGAAGCAATCAAGCAGGCCGGGGGAGGGGGCTTTGACGGCGCGTCCGCCTTCTTCCTCTACGACTCGATGGGCTTCCCCCTCGACCTGACCGAGCTGATGGCGCGCGAGGCTGGCCTGGCGGTGGACGTCTCCGGCTTCCAGGCGGGGGAGGAGGAGGCGCGGCATGCACCCGCAGCCAAGGCACGAGTGGGCTTGCGTGAGGATAGGCGGCGATGGAGGAGCAGAAGGCGCGCTCGGCGGCGGCGGCCGCCGCCTCCAAAGGCGACGGCGCGCTGCTCACCCTCGGGCCTGAGCAGACGGCGCGGCTGGCCGACGAGGGGGTGGCCTTCACGGACGACTCCTTCAAGTTCGACCTTGGGGCGGACGCGCGGGCGACGGTGCGCGCCATCTACGGCGCGGGCGGCTTCGTCGACGCCGCGGAGGCTGGCGGCGGCGAGCATGCTGCGTGGCGGTGCTCGCCCCTCCCCCCCGCCGCTCCCTCCACGTCTCTCGCGCCCGCGCCTGCAGGCGAGACGCTCGGCGTCGTGCTCGACCGCTCGTCCTTCTTCTCGCAGGCGCGGGCAGCGCAGAGCCCCGCCACTCCTCTCACCCCCTGTCGCCGCCGCCCGCCGCCCCGCCGTTTG